TGTAATCTTCAATAATCATCACATTCACGTCACGATGCCACATAGTTTTATATCAGTTGCATTCACTTTGTGTTCATGTCATGTAAATCACATCATGATCTTCAAACGATATGCAATTGCAGTTACTAGTATGATAATCACGCTGTGATGAAACGTGAGCATCATGCATTTCTATCTGGGGAGCGACAACGGGGCCCAGGTCATCCCCAGTCTATCGGGCGGACCTGCAGCCTTTACCAGGACCTCGAAATCGACGTTCCAGCCTCGAGGATCCGTGGACGGCCCCATTTCTACGCCTCGAAACTTCGGGCGAGTCCATGTTTGGACCGCCTCGAAACTTCGGGCGGGTCCATCTTCCGAGCGAACAGCGAGGAGGCCATATTGGGTGACGCAACCAAAACGCACCCTGAGTCAGCGCACAAGTCATCCCAGCGGACATCTTCGCGCCAACGCAGTTGTACCTGCGGACGCGCTTGCCGCCGACGAGCGCACGGGACCATACCAACAGCGCGCGGGACCATACCGTCGCGCAGAGGACTACAGCAACAGGACGCGTCGCGCATTCAGCCCCCGGCACGCGCACGCAACATCGGCCTTGAGGGACGCCCCTGGCATCGCATCCAGCAGGCACCGCCGTCCGGCGGGACGCAGGACAGCGCATCTACCCTCCTCTCGCCTACGTCTCGAGTCCAGGCTCTACCTCCTTCGAGGGACGACGCCGCTTCCAGAACTTCGAGAGCGTTGAGGCACATGCTTTGCCTCGTCCTGGTATTTCTCCTCAGTTTCTTTTCTTTTTTCTCATTTCTTCTCGATTCGCGCTACGCGTCCCTTAGTTTAAACATGCCGGACGAAGACGCGCGCGTAGAATCGTACCGGGTGCCTAAGATTCCGCCCTTCTGGCGACAGGCCCCGGAAGATTGGTTTTTGCGTGTTGAAGCGTCGTTTAGAAACGCGAATATAACCGTCGATAGTACTAAAGTCGACTACCTTATCGCTAGCCTCGAGCCAGAGGTCATATCGCATATCCGAGATTTGATTCAGGAGGAACCACCTCCTGCTAACCTGTACAAAGCGCTCAAAGACAGGATTCTCGCGACATTCGCGGTCTCACCGGAGGCCCGATTACGGCAGTTACTGAAAGGTCAGGTTCTGGGGGACCGGAGGCCCTCTCATTTATTAAGTCAAATGAACCAGCTCAACGGTGGGCAATGCAGTACCGCCGTGTTAAAATCCCTCTTCCTTGAGTTGTTGCCCGACGCGCACAAGACCATTTTGGTCGCGATGAACGAACCTGACCTGCAAAAACTCGCGGGAATCGCGGATAAACTCGCGGATATCAATGCTCCCAGTACCGCAGTCGCCGTAGTCGCGCCAAAAGAATCTAGAAAATCCCGCTCTAAAGCTCCTCTGAGCGTCGACGAGCGGTTTGATATGTTAACCAAACAAATCCAATCTTTGAGCACTTCGGTCGCAAAATTGCGCCGCGACCGTTCCACATCCCGTACGCGTAATAAGACTAAGCATGGTGATGAGGCAGATAAGCCTGATGCTAAGGCAGGCTACTGTTTCATTCACCGTAAATACGGGAAGAAAGCCACGTCCTGCCGCAAGCCTTGCTCGTGGAAAGATGACGCGGCGGAAAACTAAACCGCTCTCCCCGCGAAGAGACGGTCGGGGATTCCGGGCACAAACAAAGCCGTCTTCACGTTTTCGATCAGATCACTGGTCAACGGTTTTTAGTAGATACAGGCGCGGAGATCTCTCTTCTCCCAGCGACCTTGCGCGATAAGAATACGCCCTCGGAACTTAAGCTGTTCGCAGCGAACAATACTGTCATAGATACGTTCGGCGAGCGTCGTCTTACCTTAGACTTAGGCTTGCGGCGTCCCATAACTTGGACTTTTCGCGTGGCAAACGTGCCTTTTGCAATCCTCGGTGCAGACGTGTTGACACACTATAAATTAACGGTCAACCTGCACAAGCGTCGGTTAATCGACAGCGTGACTTTCTTGTCAGCGTCCGGGCAAGTAATAGCGGTTCCGGAAAATAAAATTTCGTTGGTTAACAGCGATAATAAATTCGCGGACATCTTGTCGGGATTCCCCGAAGTTACCGGTCGCGGTCAGGCGCTCTCGCCTGCCGCATGTGCTGTCGAACACCATATTGTTACGAACGGTCCTCCCGTCGCGGAGAGGCCACGCCGGTTACCCCCCGATAGATTAAAGGCAGCGAAGGCTGAAATAAAAAGGCTGTTTGAGTTAGGCATTTGTAGGCCCTCCAGCAGTCCTTGGGCTAGTCCAATCCACCTCGTCCGCAAAGGCAACGGCGATTGGCGGTTATGCGGTGATTACCGTCGCCTAAATGCCGTTACGATACCGGATAAATATCCGATACCGTACTTACACGACTTCACCTCAAAGTTATTGGGTAAGTCGATCTTCACCTCCCTTGATCTCTTCAAGGCCTACCATCAGATTCCAATGGCAAAGGCCGATATACCGAAGACGGCCATCATCACGCCGTTCGGTTTATTCGAATTCGTTTCCATGACATTCGGTCTGCGGAATGCCGCTCAAACCTTCCAGCGGTACATTCACCACGCCCTACGGGACCTCGACTTCGCTTTTGCTTATATAGATGATATTCTTATTGCGTCCTCTTCTATGGAGGAGCATAGGAAACATCTAAGCACTGTCTTTCAAAAACTCAAGGAATTCGGGTTAGTCATTAACCCGTCCAAATGCGTATTCGGTATAGAGGAGTTGACTTTCCTCGGGCATCGCGTAAATAAATTCGGTCTTAAACCCTCTCCGGATAAAGTGGCTGCCATTCGGGATATCCCGAAGCCAAAGACCGTCGCGGAACTTCGTCGTTTTTTAGGCGCGTTAAATTTTATAGGCGCAGCCTTCGACATGCCGCTCGCGTACAAGCCCCGCTACACGCATATTTAACGGACTCGCGTAAAAATGATAAACGTGAAATACCGTGGACTCAGGAGGCCGAAACCGCGTTCGACAAGGCCAAAGCCGACCTTGCTAATGCCGCGTTACTTGCACACCCGTCCAATTCTGCCGACACTCGCGTCGTGTCAGATGCTTCGGACTTTTCCATGGGTGGGGCCCTTGAGCAATATACCTCTGACGGGTGGAAACCATTAGCTTTCTTCTCTAGGAAGTTCACTCCAGCGCAGAGAAATTATAGCGCATACGACCGCGAATTAACCGCGATCTACGAAGCAATAAAGTTCTTTCGACACTTCCTCGAAGGTCGGAATTTCAAAATCGTAACGGACCATAAACCTTTGGTGTACGCATTTCAGCAACGGTCGGATAAAGCCTCTCCTAGGCAGTTACGTCAGCTCTCGTACATAGCGCAGTTCACCACCGCGTTGGAACACCTTGCCGGTTCGGAAAACGTGGTGGCCGACAACTTATCTCGTATAGAGGCTCTCCGCCTCCCGGTCGAATTTGAATTAGTAGACCTCGCCGCTAGGCAAAAAGAGGACGAGGAACTTAAACATCTCTTGATCTCGAACTCGTCCTCGTTAAAATTAAAGAAATTCGTTTGGGGTTCTTCCAACACAGAACTATACTGTGAACTGTCAGGTGAATCAATCAGACCCTACATTCCAGCATCTCTTAGAAGACAGGTCTTCGACCTTTTCCATAACCCCGCGCACCCTAACGCAAAAGTAACAGACCGCGTCATTAGACAGCGGTATATCTGGCCTAACCTGCATCGCGACGTCGCATCGTGGGCGGGTAATTGTACCGATTGCCAGCAGTGCAAGGTTTCGCGTCACGTCAAACTTGAGCCCGCTCAGTTTACGGTTCCCGACGGGCGTTTCGACCACGTCCACATGGACATAGTAGGCCCCCTGCATCTTAGCAACGGCTTTATGTATTGTTTGACAATCATCGATAGGTTTTCCCGCTGGCCAGAAGCGATTCCAATCCTAGATATTACTGCCAAAACAGTAACTAGGGCATTCTTCGATAATTGGGTCGCTCGTTTCGGTGCACCTAACATTCTCACGACCGATCAAGGTCAACAATTTGAAGCGCAGCTCTTCTCAGCCCTTCTCAAATTACTCGGATGCAAACGCATTCGTACTACAGCTTATCACCCGGCCGCGAATGGCATGATCGAGCGTTGGCACCGCACCTTCAAGGCAGCAATTATGTGCCACAACACGCCAAACTGGGTGGATGTCCTCCCCACGGTATTACTCGGGTTACGCACCCATTTACGGATGGACACAAAAGCCTCTCCGGCCGAATTCTTATACGGTACGGTATTACGGATTCCGGGAGAATTTTTCCTCCAAGAGGATTTTTCACCGGACCCTCAAATTTTTGTAGACGACTTTCGACGGCACATGCGTCAGGTGAAGCCGGTACCCGTGGCACACCATTATAAAAAGCGCGTTTTCCAGTTTAAGGAATTGTCGAAGTGTTCGCACGTCTTCCTCCGTAAGGACGCGGTTAAGAAACCATTAGAGCGGCCTTATTCGGGCCCCTTCAGGGTCGAAAGGACGTCGGATAAAGTCTATAACATAGAGATAAACGGCAGACCCACGGTCGTATCAATAGAGCGGCTCAAGCCAGCTCATTTTATACCGGATGACGTCTCAATAAATCATGATTCGTCTACGTCCGACGCGACGGACAAGCCTTCCACGTCGACAAGCGCTTCGTCCGATACTTTAAAAACGTATTCCGGTCCTAAGAAGAAAGTACAAATTAGGCTGGATAAAAATACGACATCCTCGCGTTAGTCAGGTCTTGACACGAAAACGTGAACGGTCATTCCATAGCGCGTAAAAGTTTATTCTCCGTTCTCCACTTTAGTTTGTGTTGACTCTCATCTTGGATACGGTCGCGCATTTCTTTTCTTTGTACATCCTGCGTATGCGTTAGTCCTTAAGCAGCGGTACTAGATATAAGTTTTTGTACATCCTGCGTATGCGTTAGTCTTTAAGCAGCGGTACTAGATATAAGTTTTTGTACATCCTGCGTATGCGTTAGTCTTTAAGCAGCGGTACTAGACATAAGCTTGTACATCCTGCGTGCGTTAGTCCTTAAGCAGCGGTACTAATTATAAGTTTATACATCCTGCAAGCGTTAGTTTTAGCAGCGGTATAATACTCATTACATGTTACGGTATTTCACAGTCAGTACAATGTACATCCTGCGTATACATATTCCCTTAGTTCTAAGCAGCGGTACTAACTATAAGTTTTTGCGATACATCCTGCGTATGTAGTAATCTTTAAGTAGCGGTATTGTAATTACATGCTGTGATACACCATAGTCCTACAACATTTGTGTAATATTCGGCAGCGCCAATTGCCGTAATAGACACCCAGTGTCATATCAATACATATTTTTGTAATTTCTCTCCAGCGTTAGCACTCGGGGGGGAGTGTGTGGCGACTTGAGTTGCCCATCTATACTACGACACACTCATGGTCGTTGGTGGCGCTGTCCGAGCGGGACAAGTTTTGTAACAGTCGCTTCTCTCCACTCGCACGATCGAGACCGATCACCTCGACGTTGCGATTGAGATCTAATAAAGGATATCGTTTGTTCTTAAACGTGTCTTGCATCATTCCTGCCTTCGCACATAAACTAGCTACCGGCATAAGAAGTAACTGTGGCACTTCTACCGGGGCTTCTAAGATATTTAAGCCCACAGATCTGTGGGGCCTAAGGTTTAGATATATTTACAGCCCGGCTGAAGTGCCCACAATTACTTCCTTGCCGATAGCTGATAGCGAAGGCGGGAATAACTCACTCACGGTATTGGAGATATGAGAACTTTATTTGAGATCTTAGGTACACGGTAAGGTGATCAGTCTTGACCGTGATACAGGCGAGTAACGACTAACTTATTCTGTCCCGCTTGGACAGCGCCACCAACGACCATAGACTGTGTCGCGGTATAGATGGGCAACTGCAAGTCGCCACACACTCCCCCCCGAGTGCTAACGCTGGAGAGAAAGAAATATAATTTTTGGTATGACACAGGGTGTCTATCATAAATAACTGACGCTGCCAAATATCACAAAGAATATTGCAGGAACTTATGATACCGCTGCTTAGAACTAGTGTGAGCGCAGGGTGTATCACAGAATTATACAAAGGTACTACTGCTTAGAACGAAAATGTAGACGCAAGATGTACAATGTACGATGGATTAAACAATATTAAGGTACCGCTGCTTAGAACAAATATGTAGACGCAGGCTGTACATTGCAAGATCCGAGATAAAATATAATATATGTTATACCGCTGCTTAAAGACTAACGCATACGCGGATATATAACTAATTGCACATGGAATAATACAGTATCGCTGCTTAAAGACTAATGCGTACGCAGGATGTAGGTATAAACCGAAGCAAATACGCGACCGTGACCAGAATGAAAATTGCACTTAACACTAATGGCAAACGGAACATATGAATTTTTACGCGCAATACATAACTACCTGTACTTTCCCGTGTCGAGATTTTACTAGCGAGGGAATAAACGTACAGTGTTTTTGTCTAGCCTAATTTGTACCTTTTTTTCGGGCCCGTATACGTTTTCAAGGAACCCGGTTAAACGCTTGACGAAGCAGGAGGCTTGTCTGTAGCGTCGGACGTAGACGGATTGCCAGGGGCTAGAGCGTCGTCCGGTACGAAATGAGCAGGCTTAAGGCGTTCGACCGAAACGGCTGTAGGTCTGCCGTTTATCTCGATCGAGTAGACTTTGACCGACGTCCTTTCAATTACCCTGAAGGGGCCTGAATACGGTCGCTCTAGAGGTTTTTTGACCGCGTCCTTGCGGAGGAAGACGTGCGAACAGACAGACAATTCCTTGAATCGGAAAACGCGCTTTTTATAGTGGTGTGCCACCGGTACTGGCTTCACCTGACGCATGTGCTGTCGAAAGTCATCTATAAAAATTTGGGGATCCGGTGTAAAATCCTCCTGGAGGAAAAATTCTCCCGGGATCCGTAGTACCGTGCCGTATAGGAATTCGGCCGGGGAGGCTTTAGTGTCCATACGCACATGGGTGCGCAGCCCGAGCAAAACTGTCGGGAGGACCTCCACCCAATTCGGCGTGTTGTGGCACATGATCGCCGCCTTAAAGGTGCGGTGCCAACGCTCGATCATGCCGTTAGCGGCGGGGTGGTAAGCTGTCGTACGAATGCGTCTGCATCCGATAAGCTTGAGAAGGGCTGCAAAGAGCTGTGCCTCGAACTGTTGACCCTGATCGGTCGTTAAAATACTAGGTGCACCGAAACGAGCGACCCAATTATCAAAGAAGGCTCTGGCTATTGTCCTGGCCGTAATATCTATTAATGGAATCGCTTCTGGCCAGCGGGAAAACCTATCTATAATTGTAAGGCAATAAATAAAACCATTACTGGGCTGCAAAGGACCAACTATGTCCATGTGGACGTGGTCGAAACGCCCGTCAGGAACCGCAAACTGTGCAGGCTCGAGTTTCACGTGGCGTGAGGTCTTGCACTGCTGGCAGTCAGTGCAGTTACCCGCCCACGTCGCGACGTCGCGATGTAGGTTCGGCCAGATATACCGCTGTCGGATGACACGGGCTGTTACTTTAGCGCTCGGGTGCGCGGGGTTATGAAACAAGTCAAAAACCTGTCATTTAAGAGATGCTGGAATGTAGGGCCTGATTGATTCCCCTGACAATTCGCAGTATAGCTCTGAGTTGGAAGAACCCCAAATGAATTTTTTTAATTTAAGCGAGGACGAGCTTGAGACTAACAAATGCTTTAATTCTTCATCCTCTTTTTGCCTAGCGGCGAGGTCTACTAATTCAAATTCGACCGGGAGGCGAAGAGCCTCAACACGAGATAGATTGTCAGCCACCACGTTCTCGGAACCTGCGAGATATTCAAACGCGGTGGTGAACTGCGCTATGTACGAGAGCTGACGTAGTTACCTAGGAGAGGCTTTATCCGACCGTTGCTGAAAAGCGTAAACCAAAGGTTTATGGTCCGTCATGACCTTAAAGTTACGACCTTCGAGGAAATGTCTAAAAAACTTTATTGATTCATAAATCGCGGTCAATTCGCGGTCGTACGCGCTATAATTCCTCTGAGCCGGAGTAAACTTTCTAGAGAAAAAAGCTAATGGTCTCCAACCGTCAGAGGTATACTGCTCAAGGGCCTCACCCATGGAAAAATCCGAAGCATCCGACACGACACGAGTGTCGGCCGAATTGGACGGGTGTGCTAATAACGCGGCATTAGCAAGGTCGGCTTTGGCCTTGTCAAACGCGGTTTCGGCCTCGAGAGTCCAGTTTATTTCGCGTTTATCACGAGACACGGTAGTGTCTCGCGCCAAGTATAAGCGACTAAGTATAAGCGACAAGCCTAACCACGCGCGCGACACCGACCGTGTATAAGTTTACGCGAGTACACGAGTTGACGGGCCCTCAGATTTTCGGATCTCAACAACGGCTGATCCGATGAACTTGAGACTGCGCTTAATCGATAGCTTGGGTACGATTTGCATAATAAAAGTGTTTTTACTTTTCTCCTACGTGCCCCATGAGTGGAGATAATGCAATGCAAAGTCTGCATGTTGGCCAGATTACGTAGGTAGGATTAAGAACCGCCTTCGTCGTCTTGGTCGACAGGCCAGTGGAGGGGGAAATTTCC